ATTCAGTAACTTTTTCCCCCTTAAGTGATGTCCAAAATGTCACTCATGAAAATTGAAGTTTGGACTGTTTCAGTGCACGTAGATACGGCATGTAAGATATAAAGTACGTACAAAGCTATGGTGGATGACAACCCTGAATAAAGAATACCCTATACACCGACAGCGTATGACATATACTGGCAGATATATATATATTGAAAGATTTGCAATGCGTTGTATTGACATACTAAAGGAGCTCTCAGGTAAGATTTCACATCTCGAATTCTAATCACTCATTTATAAAATCAGCTGCCATCTACACAGTGTCTTACACGTAGTAAATTGGAAATCAGCTTACAAGAAATAGAATGTAGAAGAGACATATGGAATGATTGACGCCAGTGGTAAGTCAAGCGGCACACTTCAAGCGAATCAATGACCTGGTATCACATACTTAGTCAATTTAAGTCATAATATCAGATGCGAATTGAGCCGAAATAATTGCTATAGATGTTCCTAGTTCCATAAAGTCTTCCGTTAAAGAAACATAACAAGGGCGAAGTAGTGCATATGTCGTGTCGTTCAGGAGGGCTGGATTGAAAGATTTGACACGTACCTTCTGAGTATAAATAGAATTGAAAGAAATGCTAGCAGTTATTTATGTAGATATTGGATGAATAGGAAACGCATTAGCTTGCTACTTCCATCAATGAAGATTAAAGCCTCCGGTAGGTTGTACAACAGTGGACGCAACCTCTTTAGTTTTCGAAGATCACGGTATGCCAGGATTACTGTGTATTGGAAATGAATAGCCAACATGCATTGATTTCGTGAGAAGGATTCAGTCGCTAAAAAATGACATACAATGGGATACATGCAGCTATCGATTATTTAAAATTTTTTGGAAGCTATGTAAACACATGATATTTGCACATCTTCAATTTCCTGACTTTACGGGTAAGCATGTTGACTATAGTCAACATATGAACCGGTTCCACATGGTGATCTGAAATTAAGTTAAAATAATAGGAATTTTGACAGATTTATCGGAAGACTAAAAGAGAGATGGGGGGTTAACATATATTGATAGTAGCTGATGGAATCCACATTTTGATAAATAATGGAATGTTCTAGTTTTATTTCATGGTTACTGATAGAAATTAGAGTCAGTTTGATACGAAAGAGAAATTGTTGCTTATCAAAATTCCTAATCGTTTGGCGTTTCTGTTACCATGTTAGTGTTCTCATGATGTCCGATATGACTGAATTCTTATTGTTTCTCAGTAAAATCTGATTTCATCTAAGTTTGGGCCAAGCAAACATGACTGGACGTTCATTCCCATTAATGTCTAGATGATTTGCAATTCCATCAATAATATCAGCAAATATCATTCTACCCTAATGACATTATAAGCTGAATTTTTGCCAACTACTTCGTTTGATTTTTGTGTATCTTTCAATTTGCTTGATCATACTAGGGTATACTCGAAATATTTAATTGAAATCTTCATCATAATATTCACATAGAATATCAGCCGATTTTAACTTCGCGAACGATTAGAAAGAGGTCTGTCGACAGATACAAGTCTGTTAGGAAACCAGTTTGAAGATACATTTTGCATCATTTTCTACAGTGTATACGGTCGTGGTTCCAAATATGACAATCGAGGATTCAACAAAAGCGATATAACAACGGTCCAAAACTAGACTACTTTTTAACAAATGATCAGATTCCAGTTTAAGATTTCCGGATCCAAGCACCAGAACACTTCGATCTAGTCACACTGTTTCCACGGTTTAATAAGTTCATTGTTTCATAACTTCATGGGACAAACGCCTTCTCCCAACACCTTTATTTAGAACTTGATTACTTTTCACAGTGCAGCTAACCGACTTAACGTTTGTGGATGTGATAGCTACTGCTTTTAAAAACCCCACTGCTTTAAGACAAACGTACTTACTTGGGTTACAAGACATGAAAACCCACAAATAACTACTAAACTGACAAGATTCGCTTCGGTGTAAAGGCTCGGCAACTTTGTATTGGACATTAACTAAAACATGGAACCATACCAAAACATAAGGAGGTGAACGTAAAAAACTCGATCGATCTATATATTCTCGTTACAAGTATCTTGTAAACCGTTTCAAATATAATGACTCACCGCGAATCGGAGATACGCGACCACTTCAGTTATCGTTAAAAGTATACTATACTGATAGACTTCAGTGGATTTATCATGATTAACACTGCCTCACAAGTTTTGTGAGATGTCGATAGTTTGTTGAAGGACAACTTACGTTCTGTAATGAACGGAGTGGAAATTGGCAATATTTGGTCTGTAGACTTATGGTCTGCTTAGGTATTATTAACACCATAACATTAGATGTAATCTGAAAACTGTAGATTTGCCATGATGTGACCACCTAATCTATAGGGTCTTACATAGAAGTTATATGATTCTCTACACTGAATCATCCTATGGTAATGATAGGCGATATGAAGTTCAGCACTTCTGAAGAACGCATTTCAGTTGGGAAGAGGTTAATATATTCGATACAATAAGCAAGAGCTTATAGTGACTACGCCTGCGTGCCCAAGCCAAGCTATTTCGATCAGTTCTCTTTGCCTTCGTCATTGTTGACCTGCTCTTAGTGTTACATGTTGAATGCGAATCTTTTCATTTATTTTACACTCAACTTCAAAGATCGTGTGGTTGGGAGCCGACACCACTACAGGTCAATGAAGTGCTTGGAATTGATTGAAAAAGTACATGGCGTGCAACAAAACATTTAGCATAAGATTATACCTAAACAAATTAACTCCATCTGAAACCCTTCCAAGGTCGATGGCGGTCTCAACCTCAGGGTGAGACATGTTAGTAACCAAAGTTCATAGAAACCTACCTTGTTAACAATGAGATGACCATAAATAATAATTAAAACTTCTCTCTGAGAGTTTAAAGGTTTCTATTGGAAAATTCATGACACCTCATAATGAAAGCCGAGATTCTTTGTAAATCATGGGGCCACTGTCTCTTTTGACTATCAGAGCAACAACTAATATACGTGTATTGAATGAGTATGAAATGTAGGAGGCCGAGACGACCATTTAAATTGCCACGAAAATGAAACAAACAACCTGGAGATGGTCTCCAAAGTGGTTTACACTAAGTCAAACCCATTGAAAGCACTCTGAGAAGAAGAAGAGGTTAGTCTTAGGAGATGTGCTGTTGTATTCCGGCCGTGGAAAAGAAAACGCTTTGGACATGCAAAAGGTTGAACTGATGACCTTTAAAAAAGAACGAAAAACACTTAAAGAAAGGTAATATCATGGATTCATAATCACCAAAGTATCTTCCAAATCAAAGAGAGAGGGGATCACAATGAATATCATCCAGTGTTCTGAGCGACTAGCGATATCAGTTAATCATGGAGATATACACAGGAAATCAATTGACCATCTTGATAGGAGACTTAAAGGCGAAAACCAGAATAGGAAACACCGGGTGTGTAGATATCATAGGACATGGACAATGAGAATGGTAAGCAAATCACTGAAACTTAGGAGCAGTAGAACATGTAGAACACGCTTAAGAGCTCTTGAGTAAACAACCCTCCCTGAAAACACTGGATATCGAAGCAGGATATACAGAATTTTCCATAGATGTTATTGTGAAGACAATGAAAATTAGTATGGTCATCAGACGAATGAAGAGTGGTAAGGCAGCAAAACCAAACAGTGGCCAGGCCTAGGGACTGAAGCTAGGCATAATGGTGACAGTGAAGATGCCCCACGTTCTCTTCAGAAAGATTTGATGTTTACGACAAGTGCCGACAGATTATAAAGAGGGATAATATTCATGTATAAATCAAATCGTGACACGGCCAGTCACAGTTGAATAATCGGTCAAGTGCAACTCATCGCTATGTTTTAACTCCTTGGAATAAGAGAAAACCTTTAATAGAATGAATAAGAGAACTTTACAGAGCTAAACAACTTACTTATCCTGACTTTGGCTATGCCAAGACTCTGTGTTCAACAGTACGGATTGATTTAAAGTGGTGCCCGTAGGAAATTACTTCCTTGTAATGCTTCGAACAGAAAATTCGATATACCTACTGAAACGACTTCGAATAAGTACTGTAATTCCTACGAGATTTCGGAGTTGCCACCTCATCATTCGGGGTATTAAGATGAAGATCAGTATGGAAGGAAAGAAATTAAAACCAAACACATGATAGAATTAGGGTTAGCCAAGTTACGTATAATCCAGTTTACAAATGAAATTGAACCAGAAAAGTTACGTCGACAGGGAAGTGAGGCTCTTGGCCAATCAGTAACTGAGAGTGATAATGCGGTACCATAAAATCTGTACTTACCAAAGAGTGAAGACTTGGAGTAAGAGTTAGGAAGGTAAAGTGTTATTTAGTGTCCCTAAACACACTTGGTTACACGATGAACGACATCAAGTACATTAACACTCAGTCTTCCATAAGAGGAGGTGTGCTATGCCATTTAGCCTTGCACCATCTAAAATTCTTTTTGCACAATGGATATTTTGGTAAGGATATAACATTTGGACAACCTTAGAACGAAGCTCAAGCGACTTAGAGAAACTCACCTAATTACTACAATCAAAAGAAGCTATAAACTAGTTTGAGTTAGGAATAGGATACAGAGTCGAAATTTAAGGTGAGGGATTGACGTAAAAGATTTCATCACGCATTGACATCAGCTATAGTGACAAAATACTATTTAACTTTATAAGTGAATGCATTTCGCACTGGAATTCACGATTCAGTTAGTTTCTAAATTGTAATTTCACAGAGGTTTTCACTAATTTCGAGAATTTGAAGGACCAGATACTTGATTAGTGGTGAAATTCACTTTTTCTATTATTACACTTTGAACTTTGCTTCAAGTGTATGAGGCGTTATCTTAATTCTGACTGGCCAACTCAAGGCCATTAGCACGTTGTAATTATTCACTGTTAGCCTTGATATATATATATATATATATATATATATATATATATATATACATATTCCCTTTACTGTATTTTATACATAGTCCACTTCTACATATAAAAATGATTGCCATATCCTTTGTTATGTTATGACGTGTTTGTTGTTAAATTTACAAGTCTCCAACGTATTTCGTATTTATATATTATTTTCACGTTGTATCGACGTGATCAGTCGATAGAGAACATATGACAAGGCCATTATCCATAAAACCTTTATAATCGATTATCTTAAACCCAGTAAAAAGACGGAAATAAAGAGGTTCAAAGATATATTTTATGGCTAGTCAGTGTCGTAAAGTATGTTATCTAAACTGACTAGTTATTGCAATGGATGCGTACGATGGTGAACCCAATGGTGATCTTGTGCAGATACTTGATTGAGCTCTTTTAGCTAGGTTGTTTCCATTAAAACTAACGAGGTGAATGTTGGTGTCAAATACATGTAGAACTATTTGTCGTGGGGATTTATCTACCACTACGCGCAAAAAGTTATGCTCGGTTACCGTGCTGTCTTAACAGTAATGAGGGACTATAGTGTTATCATTTGGTAAGTACTTTGATAGTTGTACGTTACTTTACTGTTCAAAACAAAAGAATGCACTCCACTAAGCTAAATTGGTAATTTCAAATACTTAATATTCCCCTAATCAAATCTCTGTTTTCTCAAGTGTTTTCCCTGCGTATCATGTTGAGAGTATTTGTCTAAGTGTTTATTTAACGTTCAAACAAAATTCTTAGCTACACCTAATTTTGATCAATTTGATCCATCCAAATAACTGAGTATGTGGTTGTGACAAGTTATTTTGATATGCTAACAAGTTGCACCGATTCATCAGCTTCCGAAGCCCCATGCGTGTAAGGTTTTTATATTTTGTTCGTCTCTTCGGTTTTTTGGCGGTGCTAACAGCTTTTGTCGTACTGTGGAAATTGGGGAATGTCTCATATTATTCGGGATCTAAAAAGTACTTTGAGTTATTAAACAAGCTGATTCTGTAAATTTTAAGGGGTTTCAACCGCAGTCATGAATCTGATTACAACGGAAACGGCTTCAAAAATGAATATGACAGGTACTTTAACTTTAATTATCATCTATCACCTAGATTCACTCCTGAATTTGAAAGATTAAACTCAGACTCCTTTCGTTCTATCCGGTGCATAGTAAATGAAAAATTAATACTTGAGTGCTATTTGCTGAAATCACAAGAAGTACTCATACCATTTGAATTAGTCCGTAATTATTTTAAGGTTTGTCTTTTTTTTGTACGATTTTAGTTTTTTTTACTTTTAAAGAGTGATGTCAGGAGTATGGGGATATCTTCGTCCACAGTATGCTTATAATTGTTCATGAATAAAACTAACACGTTTTATCAGCATCCCAAAGTGTGAGAAAGCCATTTTAATAATTCACCACTAGTAATGACGAGAACCAACGAAATAAAAATGAATTCATGCTATTCTGCTAGAATGTTTGTTCTTGCTCTTTTCAAAATGATAAAGGGAACTATGTGTATGAGACTAGTAATGTAGTCGGATGATATAGATGAGGTAATTTTGGAAATATCTTCTTGTGGATCTTTCGACTTCTTGCTGTTGATATTTGTTGCGTCTGCTGCGAATTATTGATATTCAAGTCGTGCTTCGGTCCTAGTTCTACCTATTTATATTGAAGTAAGAAGATTAGATGTGGATTGAATGTATTACACTTAATTATGACATGGATGTCTGGATGATAATTGCGAAAGCTGTAGCACTTATGTACAGAAGTTATGCCATGTAAAAATTTAACGGTCTTGGTGCACGTTTACTAATCTTAAATGTGGGAAGTTATTTTTATTCTTTTTAACCTTGAACATGTATTAAGGATTATATTCAGGGCAATATATGTGTATGATGTTAGTAAATGTTAAAGGAACTGTAACTGTAAAGCGTGTGAAGAAATATAACAATCTGAAAGTGTATACTCTTTCCATAAAATTTTGAGCGTGTTTAGTGGCACTATCTGAAAAATTGAAATTCAATATTCCAGTACGCTTATAGAATTTCATGTTAAGTGACTTTTTAAGGTTAAGTTTTGGCTCTTATTCCTCTTTACAGATAGTGTGCTGTGATCAGAGGAATAGCTCTTCTGAGGAAACGAGAATACTTTGTTAAGGTTGGCTTATGGGTTAAAGCCTGCCTAGAAATTAGGAACTAAACAAGTTTATTTTCATTCACAAATTCGTATAGTAGTGCACATCACATATGAACCAGGGCTGAAATTATTAGGATGGTCATAATTTATTAACAACTCAAAGGATTTCAGTGACATCAGGGTTCTCAAATGCATACCGATTGAGCCAGATTTTCGTGAGGAAACGTTTTCAGTCTTAAGTAGACATGTATCCTGCATAAATTATATTTATATTTTTATAGAAATTGCTTCTGGATTATGTAAAATACTTTCTACTATTCTTCAGGTAACACTTTTTTATTCTATTGATTGTATGTCATTAATCATAAATACCACAAGTTTCACAAAATCTTTAAGAACCTATGGATATCTGAGTATTATAATCATGGGATATCTTGCTCTAGACACTTCAAGGAATAAAAACCCTTCATAACTTTAGGTGATTTCCACAGATTTGCTCTCCAGTTATCATGGAAATCAGCCTACGTTTTCTCCGAGATATTTTAATATCCTGCTCAGTTGATTATCGGTTGTACATAGTTTTACTCATTACGATTAAGTTGGTAGTTGTGAACAAATTCTCTTACAGATTTATTAAGCTATCGCTATTAAATAGACTTCTGAAATAAATTATTTTAAAATTAATTGGTATGTTACACTAAGCACTACTCAAGTTCTTCAATCTTTCACAATTTATTGTTCAATAAGTTTTTCGTGCTGATCATATTTGATTACTAGATTCAAATTTTCGATGGATTCTTATTGGGTCTTTCTAAGATATTACACTGATGTTTCTTAATGATCCACTGTAGTGTTAAATTATCTCCAAAACAAGCTGATAGAATTAAGTGCAAACGTTTAAATGACAACGTGATAAATATGAGGGTTCGGAGTCATACGACTACATATGTATGCAGTACTTAGAAATATGAAAAGATAATGAACAATTTAGCTAAAATGTGATTGTTTGACCACTAATAAGTAGTGATTGATTTTTCGCATTACTAAACTAGATCGTTTTCGTATTTAGGTTTATGGTTCCCTTGATTTATCGTCTAGCACATTTTATTGGAATCACGCCAATGTTGACATCCCAAAACCATATTTACATAAACATAATCCTGTTGGTATATATATGCAATTTCATAAATCCAATGTAGAAAAACGAGATAATGTGAAATTAATCGTTGCAGATGAAGGTATGCTATGGCTTTTAATTTTATGGAATGTAGATTTTCTTTTGATGTGTTAACATCTTATATTAATTATGACTGTTATCACCATTGATTCTGGCGCTTATATTAAACTATTTTGTTATTTAATGAGTTTGAGATAGGACAAAAATTAGGTTGATTTTTTTTTTCAGTAATTCAACTGTTTTCGGTCTATGGCAAAGAAATGTCCTTTGAATTCTGCTATGTGAAAAATCAAGCAACAACTGTTGGATTTAATTTAAATAATGTATAGTTCTTGTATAATGAAGTCAGTCCATTTATGTGTATACACTAATGTTAACCAAGAATGTACTACCCCCTCCTTCCTTTCCTCCCTGCAAACGACTGACTAAATAAAGGGTTTCTTATACAATTTCTAAACTGATTAATACAAATCCATGTTTCTAGGTTGAAAACCACGATGCAGTTTAGTGTTGAACAAGCTGGAATGTAAAATTTAGGAAGCTGAAAACGATAACTGGTCAAAAGCATGCTAGAAGATACTAATTAATTGGTTTGTATCACTACACTCGATTAATGGACACATTATTTGAATATACATTTGTTGGGGATGTGCGATCACCAAACACAACTTATGACAAAGGAAGTCAGTATCGATGAAGATGGATCTCCACTGGATTAAATTATTCAATGTGATTTCTTCTCATGGACTTTCAGTACATTTTTATTATGATTTGTATTTAGTGACAAATACTTGGTTCATAAATTCTAATGATTGTTATTGACATACAATGTATTTTCAATTATGATGGGGTCATCATCAACCACTAGTCTTCTTCCTCAAGTTAGCGGGAAAGGGAAAAAGATGACTGAAGTAGTTTCATTCATTATATTGAAGTTGGAATTGTGAAATACGAGCATAATTTATGGACGTAAATTTTAAACTATTCCTGTACACTTGTTGTATATTTTTATAACCTGCTCTTTGCTATGCGATTCGAAAATATCAACTCAACAGTGACTCGAGATTTAACGCAATTAATGCTTAATGCTATCCATCCAATAATTTTGACCCAGCCCCTAACTGTTAGGATTACTAAGTCTGGTCTGTGAATGTAAAGAATATATTTTATCAAAAAAGCCACTCTTTATTTACAGATTGTTTTGCAGATAATATTACATTTAAATAATTATAACATGTAAACCAATGTTACGTTGAACAAAGATCAAAACTGGTTCAGTGCATAACAGAAGTTGTCAGAATCAAATAGAACAAAATGCCGAAATAATTAGTTGTCGAATTTGTTAAAATTCAATCAAATGTCAAATTGGACGACTATCATGTTGGTTTAACCGATAGTCTTACTCCTGATAGCGCTCTGTTACCTCCTCTTAAAGAGTTGTAAGACTCCACTCTTGAGTCAACCTGTAATAACCTTGGTCCTTATTTTCGTGACGATCTTAAATAGTTTTGTTCCGGTCTCACCAAATCAGATATTTCATCCACTTATTAAAAAAGTATAACGGAATAGTAGTGACGTCTGTCCAGTGTACTTCATATTTATCAGATATCAAACTTCAAATGTTCATATTATCAGTAATATAATTATTCATCGTATTACATTAAGCGAGTATATTTTGGTTCATTTGTGTTTGTATAACTGATGCATTGGACCATTTTTTTAAATGACACTTTTTCTCTTCATCTAAAATATTTTAAGTATGGTAGGTGAGCTAAATACTCATAAATCCATTTCCATTTATCGAATGTAATTCATATATTGCGGTGAAAGTTTTCTATAGTGCATATATCTAGCAATTCATTTCGTTCATTATCTTGTTAAAAAGTTGAATCACAACTTATTTGTATATTTACACTCAAATACAAACAATCATACATACCAGGAGTACCAATCAGTCAACAATGGAGTTCTCGCGGTTATCCATATCCAATTCAAATAGCACAATTTGGCTTGAATCATTTCAGTCAATTAGTAATATCATCAGGTCAAGCGAAATTTGAAAATGTACGAAATGTTTTGTTGTTGGACAATAAAAATATGGAGTTAGATCTTATTGTTCCCAGTAATAATGTAATTCATCGTTGGGCTGATAAAGAGTTTATACATAAATGGAATGACAGACTTATGTTATCAGGTATGGTTATCATTTAATTAAAATTATTAAATTTTGACTGTATACACGTCAAAAAAATCCTTTTTTATAGAATTGACATGTGGGACAAAAATAAAGTCTAATAACGCTGTCTTAATTCCCTTGACATTTGAGTGATCTACAAAATTCTTGTTTTCAAATTGTTTATGACATTTAATATTGCTATTTTTCTGTTGAGTGGTTTTATTCTAACATATGTAAAACCTGTTCTCTTGACCAATGTTCTTGTCTTTAATGTCAATTTATTCAGAAGTTTGCGTCAATAATCCTGTTTCGCTAGCAGTCATCACTTGGTCACATATAATCTGATCAGCATACTACCGATTTATTTTAAAAATCCTGAGTTCGAATCCCGCGGGCGGGGTCGTGGATGCGCACTGCTGAGGAGTCCCATACTAGAATAAAACGACCGTCCAGTGCTTCCAAGTTTTCCATGGTGTAACTTCAATTGACTCATGAGTTCAACTGTTAAATCCACAATGTGTTCAAGTCACAAAGTCCTAACCGATAATAAAAATAATCTGTTCGTGTGTAGTAGGAATCTAGTGTCGTAAGATATAAAAAAAACGACGTGTTTTATCTTATTTAGTGATCATTTTCATCACAGTCAATTTTATCAACTGGGAAACCCAAAATAACTGAACAGTTGTTATTACCTAATTTGTTTTATACCTGATTTCGTACGGGGTTGAATTTTCAATTGAATCTTTTATTCTAACAGCGAAAATAAGTAAAAAAAATTTAATTTTGCTCTTTAATGTCTTACATTAATTCGGTGCCCAATTACTGTGAAACTTCGTTCAAATTTAGATGAACATTCTTACAAATTATCGTCTAGTTTGTTTATTTATTTCCTATTCATTCTTCACTTGTTATCACCCTCCGATTTCATCCATTCGAATACAGTATAAACATATCTATAAAAGAGTCTGGTTTCAAATAAAGTCATGATAGCAATTAAATGACTGATTATAATAGTTATAATAACAAAGATTATGTGTATATACAATATTCATACACGATTTCTTATTATTTCTGAAAACATGAAATACAGTCAAAACTTCACTGAATTTAAATTGTCTGTGATGCTGACAGGTTTCATACGGAGCGAGGTGACTATATTTAGAAATAAATATATTCACATTATCATAATTTTTAGTCCCTTTTTTACTCTGTGTGAGATATAGCTTATAAGTTCATGCATGAATTCAGTCGTTACAATAGAGTTGCATTTGTTCAATTTATTCCGTATAGTTGATAAACTGAACTCCTATGGTCAAGTGTTGTCAATAATCCCAAAGCTTCAAGAATGGGATTATCTCATTATGAGTGGTCGTCAGTGGACATATGGAAGCCATATTGAATTATCACTTTTATGGTATCCTCCAGGTGGAAGTTATAAGAATTACCCTACAAAAAGTTTAATTGTATACAATTGTTCATCATCTCCAAGTAGACATGTCAGTTTGGTATTTATTTATATTGTAAATTAATAATACTGTTTCTACAAACAACGGTAATAATTGTAATTAATATGTCAGTGTTGAAAACAGGCTTAGTATTTTTGTGACAAATAATTGCCATTTGTTTATAATGTGAAGTTTGCTCGATCTACTTATTGTTTAGGATCTGATTGATATCATGAAGTGAACTATTTTGTAACTAAATAATAACAGAAATCACAAAATAAACCGTAACAAAAAATGTCGTACATTTATGGTCACTTATTCATAATCACTGTGGAGCTGAGCACAGAAATGAGTTAACCTAATTCGCCATGTCACGTCAACCCAACAAGATAAAGTTAACTGGCTAAGCAGCAGATAGATCAAGACCATCGTAGCGTCTATGATAACACAAAAGGCTAAAGATATAGAATATGGTTTGATAAGATGGAATGTAAAGGTACATATGAAGGAATATTGGTACTCGATATCTAAATGAAGATAAAGGGCAAATATATCTGTGCCGACACCGATTTTGACCTATTTCATCCAATGTTTCCAACTGATGACCAAAATTAGTCAAAAACGATTCTCCAAACTTAAGCGTTTTAAGTTTCTGGACGGCATACTTACTGTGGAATCAATCCACATGGCTCGCATCCTGAATAGCTTATTCTCTAAAACACCGAAAAAGTGTATAAATATTCACACACTACTCTGTGTATCATCAATTTTATTGAAGTACAAATGTTTTCTTTTTTCTCAATAGTTTGAGGGTGGGTTCAACAGTTATTCAGGGCATAGTACAAGTTATATTGCAAAATATTGCTTTGCATTTACTCTTGTGTTTACTCTTTCGTTACGATTCGATTCGCGTAGCTAGATGCGAGTCATAACAGTTAGTAACTGTTTTCTTGTTGACTCAAATATTAATTAAGTAACTACATAATAGGTGATTTATTTCACTGTGTATTAACTTTTTTGTCTTTCAGCAAACCTATGCCACTATCATTCATAATAATAAAGTCACATATTGGATGCCTGAATGTGAAAAACAAGCCAAGATATATGGATTTGTTGATAATATCAAGGTAGCACGTGATCTTTACACTGATTTAATGAAAGTATTCTACGCAAATCGAAAGTCATCGGAATATACTGGTTTAAGTAGTATGAAATTATTGAATACTGTTAATGATACTAAAAATCCATCGTAAGTATTCCGACTTTTTGGTATAGGCGAAGATTCTATGGTTTATGTTGGAACTACTTGTAAAATTGTGATTGTTTATTTTGAAATAACTTGGATATCACGATATTTTGGTACCATGTTCAATGCTTTTAAGATTATATATCATGTCGACTCAGTTCACTTTTATTACTATATAACCTTACAACCCCCCCCCCGCCAAATGGCTATTAACTAAGTGGTTATAAATTTTAAAAATTGGCAGACAACACACCTCGTTATCTTTCGCTAATTACAGGTCGGAAATGTTAAATGTTTGGAGGTAATCCACAAAAAACCCTAGACCCAGGTTTCTCACTAGTTGGTTTACTTACAATCTTAATGAAACTGACAAATCATCACCTAATATCATTGTATATTGCAAGAAATATCGATGCACTCAGACTAATGACTACATTGCAACTTAATCAACAGAATTCTCTTGACATTTAAAGACTAAACAAATATGACATTTGTTACTATTCTGTGACCAATCAATCATACAGATTTTGTGTATTTGTGTTTAAACACCACACCGTTCCTCTGAGCACTAATGGTTATACATGAGTGCTCAAAACTGAAAAAGGTGAAATGACGTTAAAATTTGATTTATTTCCGGGGTCAAATAAATCCAAATTACCAGTCCTTGTGTTTTAATTACACGCCACGCCGTTAAGTATTATTATCGTTCCCTACATTGTAGGCGTAGATCACGGCTTTGCGTATAAACGTGCACATACTGAGTTGCATTATTGTTTATTTACCTCGTTCGAAATTTATCGAAACCCTCTATGTAAGCAACATATAAGCATTTAATTACTCAGCTGATGTTGTAATACATTTCGAAGGCCGGTATTTCAAAAAGACGAATTGTAGTCCATCTACTAAATGAGGGTTTTTGTGTTCGGGTCTGGGGCTACGTTTTATGTGAAGGTTGATGATGCTAGCTTGCTGCTCAAACTGAGGTAGATTAGTGTTAGAGCTCGAACTAGGTACCTTGTAGTTGGGAGCATAATGTTTTGACTGTTAGACATATACGAACTTATTGTTCGGTCAATTTGAATCGTTTTACATTCAAGACATACTTTTTTATTTTCATAAAGGCTTCCTGCAAACGGACCTTATATTTCCCTACACTGAGAAATTAGTTTGTACATCAGTTTTTGTCACTTGAAAATTGGCTTGGATTTTGACAGTTTAAACAGATAGTATATTCCTAGTTACTTACCACTTGATTCTTAATTATATTCTAGATGATTTCACTTGGTAACTAGTAAAACCACTGTTGCCAAGTCTTCCGCTATCCGACTCAGTTGCTCTTATAGTTTAGGCTTCTCCGAACATTTTACCTCACTCGACTAGTCCTCAAAATCAGAAGGTGACTTGGACAGGAACGTAATTATATTTCAAAACAAATCGAGTTGAATAACGATGAATTTTTAGTAAGAAAATCGTTAGAATACCTGTAATTTTACACAAGCTTCTGTAGTCTTTTTATCTGACAGCTCTGATTGGGTTGAATTAGTTCAGTCAACGTGCTCTGACACAATCTTCAGGGATCATGCTTTATTACAATGTCCTTTTAGCAATTGCATAATAAAAAAGCAAATATCGTTGTAGAATAACATAAATTTATTTATTTCGTGGATTTCTTTCAGCTGCTTACAACCCATGGCCGTAGTATTATTCATGAAAACGAAACAAGGTTACATACTTTTTATCGGAAATGTCTCGAATAAATTGAGTTAATAGGTGAGAGATAGAATAATAATCAAAGATAACAATATGGAAGAATTGACATCGCTTAAACGTTCACTTATTTGCAGGTTGAATATATATGAATGCTCTAGAACAACATGGAAACAGATTTTTTTCAAAATTGAAGATAAATTGTGTAATACTCACTTAAAAATATAGATTAGTTGAATAAAGCTCCCGTGTAAGAATTAAGATATTTGAAATTTTAATTAAGGTTTTTGAAAAAATGTCCTACGTAATAGTCTGACGAAAAAAAGTCATTAGGGTAAATCAAGATTGATAACAGTATCTTTTTGGATACGTCAATTCTGTTTATATTTTTTTATTGCAATAGCTTCGAGAACAGGTAACAGTTTTGGATTCCTTGACTTATTGAACATCTTGAAAGATTTCCAGACATTAACATCATGTTCACTATCGAGTAAATTACGAGTGATTTCACTGTTGAGAACGTGTCCATTTAGTCCAGACTTTGTGGAATATCTTCAGAGATGAGGACACTAACCACTCTTTCTGTTCTCTCTGTGTATGTGCTTTGGAACGTACATATAAACTGGTAAACACAATTGAAGGTAATATAAGGTGGAAATTTGTCTGTATTTGATTGTCGTAACGAAAAGTTAGTTTGATATAACGACGTCGACTTAGCCACTGGATACATCCTTTTTAGTATTGCTTTTAGCCTAAATTCAATCCCAACTATTTCATCCGTTTTGAAGCTAAGTTTTAGAAAGACTGGCTTTTTTTCAACCGTGGAATATCCTATTTCCTTTTTTCTAGTCGTTCCATATTTATTTGTAAACTTGCAGATAACCATTATCACGTAAGCGATGTTCAACTAATGGCTGATACCTTCTCGATTCTATATTCAGAAAATCATCTGCGAACACGATTAAATAACCCTCTGAATAAGGACTTTTTGTAGCCTATTGCACAAAAGCTATGGACGTTCAAATGAAGCTCACTCAATATATCGTTTCGATAAAGATGTCTTAACAATCGGCTATTTGAATTACGATAAATACCAAAGTCTAGAAAATGAAACATGTCGTGTTCATATACCAATGCAAATCTAGTTTGCACTTTTCTGAGGAGTCTCATCCTTGGATAAATCAGCTGTCTAATGCTTCCTAGCCTTCAATGATTGTTGAAGGTCATTTCGTGACGTAACTTGTAATATTGAATTTAAGCTTTAATTACAGCATTATATGATAGAATTTATCTATAAATATGCTTATTTCAATCGTTTTTTTGTCATTTGATCTATTTTCTATTTTCAGTCATGTACAAGTATTAAATATAAACTTCTATATTAATGCCCAATATAACACTAATGATATCATCATAGAAAAATTATACCTTGGTAAATTAACCAATTTACAATTAACATTTCCAACTGTAAATGGAATAAACTTGGCAGAGAAATTATTTCATGAAATACGTTTTATATCTGCTGCTGATTGGTTTATTAAGCATCAAGATAAAAAGACTGGTGGTTGGTCTGTTAATGTTCAACGTTCATTGAATGGTAGAAAAGCTCTAAAACCTGGATGGTATTCTGCTATGGGTCAAGGTAATTCTAAATTGTTAATTTTTTTCCAATATTTTAACCAATAGTGTAACATCTTCAATTACTTTCTGTTGTATGGTCCTAAAGAAATTATACTACCGTAAAATGATTGTCTCTAGTGTATTTAAACGCATTTTGTTATTACGGCTTCAAGGATAGTTATTTAATGAATGGAGCTGTAATATTAATTGTAATACTAAATCTATTGTGTTGTGCTTTTGTCAACGCATAATAGATATCTTCTTGAGAAAGTGAATTATGTAAGAAGCCTACATGTAATTCATTGCTAGGGCTAATTTATTATTAATGTTCACCTGTAGAATGTGATAAGTACATGGTTTTAGAAGAAAGCTTTTAAATAAAGACAGTGAATTGTTGTCAGTAAAGCGGATATTCATTGGTTAACGCTTAGAACTTTCAATCACTGGAAGGGATGATAACACAAAATATATTTGACAAAGCTGCTAAAATTGTTTAGTACGCGTTTTGTACATATTCAAATGATACTTCTCGTTTGATTCATTTCGAGGAAGGGAACTAAGACTGACTAAATACATTATTCACTTAATCTTAATCTTTCTTTAACATGGCTAACGAAGTGCGTCTGTTTTAATGCATTAGTTTGCTCTGTGCTCATTTACAGTTATGTAACATGGCAACGTTTACTGGGATCAGAAACATTTTTAGGGTTCGATGGATACTGTGAGTCAATAATATCAGGCCTACTTCCAGAGTTTTAAATGGGTAGAGTAAGTCAATCAATGATGTCAATATTCACTAACCGAGACATATTTCGTACAGTTTAAGCCTCTTTTAAATCTTCGTGTATGACAATTGGTTCTGTATTGGTTTAGCAAACAGAGTTAATTTCTGAATCAAATAGAATAACACTGTATAAAGTTACTATTGTCATGAATTTTGTTAGGAGATTTAGATTTCGCTATTCAAGTTCCCGACTTTCTGGAAAACATTAATTACAGACAATAAATTACACAATTTAGGAACAATCGCATGGAATTTGCTGCATTTATTTTGTATCGTTTAAATCACTAAACCTAAACTTCATTTGGTCATTTACAATCCTGTTAGTTTTCCCTCTCCCAGCCGACTAATAAACTTAATTAATTATAACTTTATTTCAGGTCAAGCAATTTCGCTTCTAGTTAGAACTTATAATTACACTGGGAACCCATTATATTTGGAAGCTTGTCATCGTGCTTTAGATTTGTTTAGTGTAAATATAAATCATGGAGGTATTCGTTCGTATTTCCTCAATCAATCCGATTTAGTATGGTTCGAAGAGTACCCGTTTGATCCTCCAATTCATATATTAAATGGGTTTATTTATTCACTCATAGGTTTATATGATTATACCAAAGTAAGTTTAACGCTTTTAAAATTTCTATTTTATTAGAACCACATAATGAAGCATTTAATTATTTGTCTGATGGTTAGACAATAACATCAGTCCATGAAGTGTGGCAGTAGTCCAGTGCCTAAAGTATTGGGAATTCAATCAGTAAGTTAGATGTTTAAACTTTATTACCGTCCACCAGTGGAGTTCAACCAGGTCTATTGTGAGATAGCAAATCACTGAAGGCAATGGTGGACGGTGGCGCAATTTCATGGATTAGTTGAAGCTGGACATTAAAACCGTTGGATGCCAGCTAAGTGGTCTAGAGGTTAGGTGTTCGCGCGCAAGACCGACAGGTCCTGGGTTCGAGTCTCGCGAGCGAGATCGTGGGTGCGCACTGCCGAGGAGTCCTATACTAGGATGAAACGGCCATCCAGTGCTTCCAGGTTTTCCATGGTGGTTTAGCCTTAATTGACTCATGAATTCAACCATTAAATTACTGTAATTTGCACAAAACTCCCTTCTGATAATTTTGTATCAACCAATAGATTGGTTTTACCCACCTGAGTGCTTGTTCACTACAGTATCACTAACTTCCATCAAATCTTTATGGTCCAAAACGAGTTCATAATCTTGTAAGTGGTAAACTACTCTTGTTTAATGAAGTTATTGACTGTTGAGAATTGAATACTTCATGGTTATAAATAAGAATAATATGTCCTATTGTTCCTTTGTACTATCTAAACTTGGATTAATTTTAACTTGGTTATTTATTCTCTGAAGAAGTGACTTACACTAAATCACGAAACGTCAAAAAATCTGATTTTTCTACTCATCGGGATATTACAAATATATTATTTATTTAAAACAATCTACCCAATGCTCAACTTATTCGAAATTATCAGATCAAACCTTGGTAGTGATACCTACTTCATGGTTATGCTTTGTTGAGAAAGTACAACCGATTGTTGAAGACTTTATGTAACATAACTCCAAATCGAAAACAATGGCGCAAATGGATTCATTTTTAGTCTAAAATTACGCCTTCAAACCAGTGTTATTCTCATAATGTTCAGTCTCTGACTTTATTTCATTTTTTGAAACTCTTTTATGCAGCAGTTGGGATGACTCTCCCACATTGTATGAGGACTTCATGTGCCTAAATTAATTGTTGCTCTGGTTGTGAGAAGGGGCATCAGCCTCGTGACTTTTGAAGGAACTCACTTTTCACTATGAGGCGTCATAGCTCTTCTAAATGGAAGACCTAACTCCCACGGCAGAGTTTATGTGGTTTGAATTATTTTTTCTGGTTAGCGTTTTTGCAGCGAGTTAGTTTTCTACGAGATGGGGTCGCTAACCCCATTTCCAACCCTTCTTCATTCGGGCTTGGATCCGGCAGTAGCCCCAGAGGGGCTCCAGTCGGAGTTGGAACCGTTTTATGTTTACTTTATATCTTATGCATTATAATTCCACTATTTTGTGAGACATGTAGAATGATTATTAGTTTACTGTCTAAATATTTGATAAGCGATTCTGTCGTTTAAACGCAAAACTAATCATTACTTAGTTTATTCGAATTTTTATATATTCACGAGACTGAGTTAGAAAGAAGGATGTTCAGTAGTACAGTGCACCTTTGACTAATATGTTTTTATCACCTCTTTTCAAAATGAACCATTTATTGGTGAGCACTAATTACACTCACTGAGTATTTTTTTGATCATTACGCATTTAATATAATATATGCACTTTAAAATTAGAATTAAATAACTTGAGAACAATTAAGTAATTCTTCGTCTTCTGTATTTCATCCAATCAAATGCCTAATTGCTTAATGTTCAAGACATAATTTTTAATGCAACTATAACGTGATAACGAATGCCATTTGATCTTAAGATATTATACAGCTATGAAAAAAAATACTTGACTCATTGGGATTTTACAAGTACATGATTTCTGTCAAAAAGCTCTACTGTTCTAAAAATCTGTAATCTGTTTCTCTTATTCAAATGATTTCTTTTTGATTTTTATTTGATTTTTTACCGACTGGATTCCATGTGTAAAGATGATTCTCATACCATAATTTCGCATAAGCTTAGTTATTATAGGAGTTATTGGTTTACACAACCTGTTTTCTCTCTTATTGTAGTTATTGGTGAACTCTCCAGATCCTTTGACTTTATCCTATCTTTCGAAAGCTCAAAATTATTTAGATATAGGATTAACAAGTTTGTCCAAATTGCTCCCGCTATTCGATTCTGGTAGTGGGAGTTTCTATGATCTTCGTCATCTTTCAACGGCCTATAATAATAAACCGGTAAAACAGGGTCGATCTAAATTTTCTAAAAGTTATTTTCAATTATCCACTGGACCCAATCGAGCTCGTTGGAGTTATCATTCTGTGCACATTAAACAACTTCAAACTTTGGTTGATTTAGATCCAAAACATGCTATTCAATGGAATACTACAGCTAATCGATGGATTGCTTATCTTCAAGGTTTCAGATCTCTTCAAAATTAATATGCTTACTTTTACAATCGAATTACTTTCAACATCTTTGTGTTTTAAGTCGGATTCCAATCATTTACACTACTGTTACATATATTCATATACCAGCCAGTAATTTGCATTTATTTTGATATTAGTCGTTATACATTATATGTATACAATATCCAAGTGATTATTGGGAATTACATGTACTTTCGTTTTCTTATTTAGTATTCACTTAAAACAATGCTTAAACTTTTAAGATTAAGATAAGAGACACACCCAGTTATCTACTGGATAATTTGTAAGATTCTTATTGATGGATCACTTCAATGTTGGTTTACTGTTTTATATTTTATGACTAAATAAACTTCCATAGTTTCTTTTGGTGTTTTCTACTTATGGCTAATAATAATATTGCATCGACTTGTCCCCACACGGCTTTTGTAGATATGGACGACCTTTTTTAACAGTGATTCCTCGATCAAAGATTTTTCAGTTGAGAAACATTCAACTTTACGAGAGATTTTTACAAGTAACTCCTATTGCTGAAAACATTGGTTCACTGGTTATACACGTGTTCAGATATTATCGCTATTGTATATAGACTGGGAATTCCAATGTCTTGTTGAACATAAGTGTTTTTTCGCCAAACAATAGTGAACTGAGTTGTAACCCTAATTTGTAGTAATGTTTAACGAATTTACATTTTGTTGTAAACATGATGCGTAGTAAACCATTCAGTTAATATTAACTGCTTCGTTTCCTCGCATTTGCAGCAATACCGAAAGGTAGACCGGTTTTTCTGACAGGTGCTGATAACGGTTGGATTCTTCAAGCCACCCTTGGTTTCGAGATATGGGTGTATGGCACAATCCTTTTCTAACCCACAGTATGTTTACGACACTCCGTCTTAGAATCCAGTTACTTATCTTTCAGCTTATGTGACAAGTTGATAGGGCATCCCGAAAATACTGAAAGAACACAGTCTTAATGTTCATTTAAAGTTCAACTTGTTCGGATATCTCAACGGAGTTTGATAGATAATCCGTCATACATATAGCGCTTAATACTAATTTGTTAACCGCATACACTGTCAGTGCATAAAATTAACCAAACGTATACACTTCACATATTTCATGCGGGCCTTCACTTGTAAGTTAGATACATCTCATCAATTCAAAGGAAGATCACAAGCCATCATTTGAATAGTATTCTATTTTGAATTACTTCCGAGGTTTTTAATTCCTCAGCATCCATAGGATTTTTCTAATCGAAACGTACTTTGTATTTTCAAAAAGTTTTATTTTTAAACTGCATAATGCGGATGAGGTTGGAGGGATAAAACACATTTCTGTATAGATTAGTAAAATACTACCATTCATTTTTTTAATAACGTTCAATATCTTTCTTACTAATGAGATTGTATTTAGCTTTCACCGGTACACACAGTTATCTTGTGGTTCCTAATACAATTGGTGTATTTTTGCCAGTTAGTTTTGTCCTCTCTTACTGTTCATTTCAATGGAGCTTTCTTTTGTAAAATCATATTTTCCGTGTGACAATAACTTCTATTCAGATGTTGGATAAGCGGTGTCTTGTTATAGCGTAGATGATAATAACCATTACGTGCAAGAGAATACAACAGAATTGGATCAATTATGAACTTGAATATAGTAAATACACTGTTTTACAGCAATACGAAAAAATCTGGACAGTTGCATGGGATAGTAGTAGGATCTCAGGATTTTTGTGGGGTTCACTGTTTTATCACGCTTAACTGTGGGTAACGATTCCTGGAAAATAAAGTATCTGGTTCTGTATAAAAGTCAATTCATGTTACATTTGCGAATCATGTGTGGTAAACTAGTTCGGTGTAATTTTTCGGTTAAGTAACAGTAAAATCACAAGCAGACTTCATAGCATCTGCAAAATACTAGTCTGTCATATGTCAGCACTTACAATACTTCCTAATTAAGAGGGAGTAAGCTGACCCTTTATCGTTCTTTTTATGATTTCGAATCCTGACCAAAAGCTAATCATTCATCATACTTCCAGTTTATGTAATTACATACGGTTCTAGTGTTTAGAATGAATCCATTACAGCTATTGAGTGGTTGATTTGAAGGCTGGGACATCACTGTAAAGCTTTGATTTATGACAATAGTATTTATTGTTTAAAATGACGATTAGATAGTTTCGTTAATTTGAAGTTACCGATTTTCTGTGGAGCCCACATAGTTAATAATCTAAAATATGGTCTAAATTTTGTTATTATTATGAGTTTAAGTATTTGAATCGAGAGAGCGGTGATTCGGTATTTAAGGTATTCGATTTTCAGTCACTACTTTTCAGGTTTGAACCTCATTCCACCGGGTAATAACCCATGCTTACATTTAATGTGGCTCAAGACCAAGTACGCAAATCTACTACTAGTAGAAGAGTTGAGTTATATCTTGTGGCCTGTGTGCCCTGTCAATGTATAACGTAATGATACCACCAATTGGAGAGCAGTGACTTATCGATCGGGCTAATGACGCATAAAACACGTACGAGCAGTCTAGAGTCCTTATTGGTCCTGCTTCCTGCCTAGCCCAGCCAGTTAAGTCCAGAACGCCAATCTCAGCCTCCGCGATATGAATCATTTATCTCAAACATACTGGTTTTATATACTAATCAAACAGCCACATCGTACCATAAAATAGAAAATAATATTTGTACAAGATTTAGCCAAAAGTGGCTGTGAATGTGCGAGGTTGTGATTAATAGACGGCATAATTCAAGAATGGTAGATCGTATAATAATAGTTCATAGGGCAAAATCAAGCTCGTGATAAGAGGGACATGAACATGAACAGTTTAGTTATTTAACAATTATATGATAAAAATATACGCATAGTATTGGTCCATAAATGGATCCCGAAAGTTACCATTCATTATGCTTATTGGGACATAACAAGTTGTTTTGTCAACTGAAAAAAGAAAGAATGACAATTACTGGCAGGAATAGATTGACTAAAAAGGTGTTTACAACGTCTACAGAATTTATTTATAACAAAGTTTAACTATGTAGCTTGATATGATTCCCTAATCTGGGTGATTTTAGTTCGCGTCATGAAAATTGCAATGGTTCATCGTTTTTTTATTATAAATACTAAACGACGCGGACTTAACGAATGTCGGTTATAAATTTAAAGTAATTATGTTTGGAACGTATTCAAAATGGCCTTTCTGTAAAATCCGATCTTAGATAAAAGAAACCTACCAATAAGCTTGGGGCTCCTGTCTGCCGAATTTTCTTTCTGTATAAACTATATTTTCGTCAGTTTCGATTGTCCTGGTTATGCTTCGAAAAGATAGGTCTAGATTTCATAGCATTTGGAACAAATTTATCGACGGCATTGGTATCACTATACCTCTGTGATTTTCGTTAGATCATTCATTGCAGTTACTTGGGTAACTGGTGTTTCTAAAATCCACTGAACAATTATCATCGTGATTTGCTTCAATAAGAATTCTCACACTCAAAGGATCCGTCCAGTTTTATTAATTTCTTTGTCCAACAAGTCTTCTGGCACAAAAATCCTTCATTTCGTCACTATATATCATATCTCCATTCCATTTAGCGTCAACAATCACACGTCATATAGACTAGATTGAAGGCGTCTCTAAGTGACCTTGATCAATTTTAGCCAATCAGATCAGTTGGTATAGATTAAGGGTATATCACACACGACCAAAAAGTTAGAGTGGATACATTTCGTTAACATGGTTTAAAAAATTTCCAAGGTTAAAAAGAGGTGTTACAGTACTGAAATCGTAATGCATATAACACAAGAACTCATCCATTTGACTCCATAATAGTTGACTTTCGGAAACATGGTAAGTTCGCAAAAATTACTTTAGCATCGGCCGCATTACTTCTGTATTATTGGCGTGTACTCCCGTGGTGTGGTCTGCGAAATATCGCCCGTGAACGACGGTACAATACACGTAACCAAGTCTAAATAGGCATCGATATGCTTTCCAGTCATCCGTGTAAACCGTGGTGCTCGTCTGCTCATGCTCTCCTATGATTGGTATTGTCGTTGTAGCCTGTCAGTTTTTCATGCGCTCAAAGTGTCCCTTTTGAGATATTCTATCATATATACCAAGGACCTGCTAAATATACTTAAAGAATAACTACTTACTCAATTTTCTTTAGAACTTCCTCTATTGAATTTAAGTTTTCTGACGACTGTTTTGTCGATTTCTACGATTCTCCTGATTCCTCCAAACAACCGATGCAAGCTTTTGATTTTCATTGCATTTATATCTCGACAGTACTCATACCAGTGAACTGCCGAAGCTTCAGTGACATTTGCAAAAGTTGCAACCAGTGTTACTTGTGATCTCATTATCCAGTACGCAACAATTATCATAATATGCCTCAGTGTCCATCGGTATTGAGCGAAAAAAGTTCTCGTTCTAGCAGATGTTTTCCTCCAGCATATATTACATCGAAATACAAAATCGTCACGTTAGTCTGCATAATGTCCATCAGTCATTTGAACGCCACAATCACAAATAAAGGAACTTTTCAGTAGTCCCATCTGTTGTAGCCGTCCAACTATAACACCCTCCTTGAAAAACTTTGTCAACTGATCGTGAACATTGGGTATTAAAATGGGCGCCGTGACCATGAAATCGCTCACTCGCTTTTGATTGGCTCGTCCATAAATTATAATCTCGTCACCATTTTGAAACAACTCTATGCCTAGTGAATGTTGTAGAATAAATCATCACTAAAATCAACATCGTCACTCAAAATGTGCTGTGTGATCTAGGTATATTTGTCTGTGCTATGACTGCTTCACCCTAGGACGTCAGTAAAGCATTTTTACCGTCTAGTTCTATAGTTTATATCACAAGTAGACCTTATAAAGACAACCATTGAGAACCAGAAAACACTGTACATGTTTCGTTATATTATGTGATTCGTCAGTAATGCACCTACATTACCCTTCTTTGGACTGTCAGATCTCACATTGAGAGGTCAACCTTCAAGCTATTGTCATCAGATTTTATTAAGTGTTATCTTCTATTCCACTACAATGATCACTTAATATATTAATTTGGAAAAAATTACGATTTTCACAAAATTTAGTAGGAGAACTACAGATTTTATTGAATATCATTATCTAACCTGCTATAATGGTATATGTATATTGCTAACAAAAATGAACTGGTCGATTTGTCATTCTCTTAATTTACGTGCACGATAAAAATACTTGATCATTGTAGGAATAACTGATTTTCGTACACTTTGTGACGACACTCGTCTGACCAGAAGTTTCTCTACAAATCTCTCCACTAACATAACTGTAGTTGCATCAGAATGATATTATTGACTTGGTGCAAGTGAACTCAATTCACTGAAGGCAATGGGATTTGATATAGTTCGGAATATCAATCATTCACTAAATTTTTCTTCATACTAAAGTGATGTTCACAACGACCAAACTTTGTAATGAACGGATCCAACCTAAATGCTAGTGTACTGTCCTTACTTTTGATTATTTTATGTAGACAGAAAAAAAAGATTAAATGTCTTCTAGGCCGTACGCGCGAAATGGTACTTGCTTACGAATTTCACACCTACCAGGGTGATTAGATTAGCCGAGATAATGTCCTCGTGGATGATGACGTAAAACTAGGTGGGTATTCTTATTCGTTATGGCTAATTTTCTCTTACATTTACTCTACCGTATAAGTATGTTACATCATAAGAATTGGCTTACTTTGCTCAATAAAAGTGGTTAAACCAAATGAATTACTGGCGAACTTGGACAAATTTATTCGTATCTCTTTTGATCGTTCAAAAATCATTAATGCAAGTGAATTTGTAACTTGATTCTATCAAAATTGACCAGTAATGTGCAAAAGCCAAATTTTGTATATCTATTAAAGTTATTTGCTGTATCCCCTTTCCGGTCAAACAGGATTTGAACTAGCCACTTTTACGCATTCGAATCCATCGAGAGTCGAACCGAAAATCTTAATCTGTGTTTTTGCACAGGAATTCATATATAATGAATAAATTTATTCATTTTTAACCCATTCTCCTGATGACGTTTCCCCATTACAGATGCCTAGTTAGGATTTACTACATTATTATATTAATATTGCTCCATAAAATTAAAGTTTCCCTAACATTGCTTTGGTTCAAATAGATAATGTTTGAATCCTCATACTTTACCGAAAGATCCTGTTGAGTAAAACTTAACTGCAAGTTAAATTTATGAACATTTATATTCTGTTAAAAAAAATTGACTTATATTTAAACTGTAAGACTATCTGGAGTACACTGTGGTGGTCTTCTTAACGTCAATTCTAAAGTAGTAGTATTTTCAGTATTTAGAAAATACTAAAAATAGTATCACTTGTACGTAACTAAACGAGATTATCGGACTAAATATTATATTGAGTTTTCAATTCAATCTTTGAGTCAAGCATGTTTAGTAGAGATAATACCCAGTACATATCGTCAATATAATGTAAGAAGTATGAAAAAGAAAAAAAATTTGTTATCATTACGACTATATTATAGAATTAAGAGAAAAAGTCAACGAATTGTATGCTTAAAAAATAAATCCTCTCTAAAACCGACTAAAATAGATATCATTCCGTTGGCTAGGCAATGGTTCTCTCATTCACAGTCCAGTCACCCTAACGATTTTTTCTGTTATTATAACAGATACCAACTAGGTGTACAATAAAAATATCAACCTAGCCTTTCAATCTCACGTATTTTAAAACCTCAAACAAAATAAACATTGAACGATACAAGTGTTGTATAAACAATATCACAAGAACTTACTAATTTGATTGTCTAAACATTCAAATGGTGTTTATTTCATTTCAATAAAACAAATAAGTTGTCTCTATCTATAATATTGCGCTACAAAAAAAACGTGAAATGTACTAAAGTTAACTCAGTAATTATATATATATATATATATATATATATATATATATATATATATATATATACAATGAATATTGAATAGTCTCAGTGTAATAACTTTTTTGTTCCATTTAGTAAACCTTTATATACATGTACTTATCACTGTTTGTTTTTAAATACACCAAGTTATGCTTGATATAAGAATTATTAATATGTATGCACAGTCCTACTACTGACATCATTTAAGTACTTGCCCACATTTCAATCGGTATATCTTCAAAAAGGTTGTAACTTGATGCCTATAACACAATGAAAAATGTGCAAAGTAGTCACGATAAAGAAAATCAATTCTCAGTTATGAAGATTTCTACTTCGGAGCCGATTATTGCTAATGATACTGCTACTACTTCGACAAATGCTACTACAGGAAATAATTTCAGTTGTTTAAATCAAACGATTATTGATATTGAAAATATCTTGTATAAAAACTGCATAGAACTTAGTCAACATGAAACTAAATTAATCACATTATTAGAAAGATCTGAAGCTATGGAAAAAAATGTAAGTAATCAGGTTAACTATATATATATATATATATAATGTTTAATTTATTTGATACAATCAAGTTCAAACACAGTATTGATACCTACATTGTGAATACATATCCAAAAAAACAATGTGGAACACTGATGGTAGCAACAAACCTCAAGGGAAGAACTGGATAGCTAGGTAGTGAACAAATGATAGGCTTGAATAAAATTAGTACAGCTCATTTAGCTCAAAATGTAATCATTAGACTACTCGATTCCGCAATATCTGAAGCACTTCAGGCTCACCATTTTCAAGTATAAATTCTGACTACTTGTAAGTAGTTAAAGCTGTTGACTTAAAAATTGCTAACAGACAAATTACGAAATGCTTTATTGAAAAGTGGTCATAAAGAGAGATTGATCTTATCCGATAAACTTTTAAAGCTGCATAAATTTCAGACTTATTCAGTTTAATTGTGAGTAGAAGAAACTGACAGGAAAACGTCTTGGACCAAATTTTTGTTTCAACAGAAGTAATCAAGTTTACTGGTTTAGTAAATGTAGAGATTTCACTCAAGCAACAATTCCTCACACATTTCATGGGAAGTCAGTGATTTTATACGTGTTAGGAGTTGTGACATGACTAGAAATCTACTTTGAAATCCCATCATGTGATACAGGTCAAGAGTGTTTTGGTGGTAATCTTGACGGATTGACGTCGATTAGGTTACAATTAGAAATTAAAGAGCACTGAACGGTTATCCCATCTCAGTTCAGAATACTACCGCAACGTGAACACTCGACCTCGTCATGGTCCAAACCATATTTCTACTCATTAAGCCATTTGGTTGGCTTGGAATGTTAAGTATTTCCGATGTAAGTGAACTCATAATACAGCATACTGCCGCGAAGTCCCATTCTACGAAGAAAATATTTTTCAGCACGCCAGGATCTTTAATGGAACCCAAAGCGAGGCCAACTTAACACAATTATCACTTAAAAAGTACACTAATCTAAAAAAGGTTTTTACATTGATACTATGACTTATGTATTAAAGTTATCATTTAAGAAATGAACACCAATATGGACAATATGTTGTGCTCTTGTTAAACGAACATTTCGTTTGACCAATTATTCAATCAGGTTCTTTTTTTATTCGATTACTATACTGGGAAAAATAAATGGTAAATATGCATGAATAAATAATTATATTCAGAATTTTTCAAAGAGATTTTCCTCAACTTACATTGTACGTTTAACTGTTTATAGTGGAGATATTCATGTTATTGAATAATGTATATCAATAGTGAGGTATTTAAAAAATCCAATGTATTTGTCAGATATATGTAACAAATAATAAAATAAACTTTGTCCAGGAGATGCTTTTCAAGTAACAGATCAATTTTAACATAGTTTTTGTCAAGGTGAGTGACAGTATGTTTTGTTGACACTGAGTTTGATTGGTTGTTGTTGAATCCTGTCCTGTTATTATCTACATGTTTCTGTTTGTGGCTTTCCTCTATGATGTGATTCTTGATAAATATAAGATTAAGGATCAGATCAAAGACGAAAGCCACCAAAAGAAATATGTAAATGATAACAGGACAAGATTCAACAACAACCAATCAAACTCAGTGTCAACGAAACAAGCTGTCACTCATATGTAGAGAGATTCGAGTAGCTCACTTCTATCCTAACTTAGTCCTGATGATGTTATCCAGAAGGACGATTAACGCTTCAGTGTTATCAACCAAAACTCATCAGAATGAATCACAGATTAATGCAGGAATTAAGTACGTGAAATGATCACATAAACTGAATCACTGGCGAATAATCAGCTAAAACTTTTAACTAGTTAATTTTATTATCAGTCAAATTAGAAAGTTTGGAACTTTCCCGCTTTTTGTTAAGATTAGATTAAAATATTGAACCGATGAGTTAAATTGATTGGATTAAAGCAATGGCTTAAAATCTGTGATGTTGGACAGTTTGTGTTTAGAGTATTATATTCTTCTAGAGTTTAGATAACGAGCATAGTTCTAAAACGTTCATAATTACAAAATCGATTAGTTGATTGAGTAGTTGCTTACTTTTTAACAGTAAGTTTTGAAAACAAAGAATATCTATCAGCCTTTTCTGTGCAATCGAACATCCAACTTTTTAACTATCATAACTTTTAGGAATTTATACAGCTGCAGCTAGCGCAAATATCGTATTTCACTAGGAAGCCATTCGTTACCTGAATAGCTCAACGATACTATCACTGGCTGTAACACTCGGTAACGTCTTTCCGTATCCTACATTCAGATTGCAGATACCAATTGTTGACAGTATCAAATAACATGAAGCACAAGACCAGTACCTTTTGTCCATTGCCTTCAGCCATTTATCACCAAAGCTATTATTTTCATCATCAATATTCCTAGAGTCAGAAATAAATATATTAAAAATTCATATGACCTAACTGTTATAAATTCCAATAAGTCCTCTATGAAATTTATTTTCTTCAGGGTGAAAGAAGTAGGCCATTTCAAACTATTCCATTTGTCTAATTTGACGTTCTTCATATTTGACCTAAATATAATTAAATAATTTAGTTTAAGTGAAAGTTTGGTCAACTATTAAAAAAAAAACTCATTCAGTTTATTGATCGATCGCTGTTTACAAGCATTACAATCAATATTTACCATTTAATCTCTATCTCTTCATCTATTGGAATCAGTCATTTGACGATTAAAAAAAAATAATTCAATTAGTTTGTATTCAGTTATTTACTGTTCCAAGTGATTAATTCAAGTTTCCTGCTTCTATATAAAAAAGTACTGTACTACACCTTGTAAAAATTGAAACTTGCGGAAATTATTTACATCTGATTGTTTCGTTTAATTTAGTTATTGTCTAATGATTGCTTTATGTCAGTGAAGATCACCTCTGTTAATCTTAGTGTATTCCTGTAGCGAAGAAATTAAATGAGTTTGTATCATAACTATAGTCAGAATTTTCTTCAGACTTCAACAATAACTGTTTATGATTGAAATCATGAGTCAATTGTAGCTAGGCCACCATGGAAAACCCGGAAGCACTAGACGGCCGTTTCGTCTCAGTATGGGACTCCTCAGCAGTGCGCATCCACGATCCCGCACCCCGCGAGATTCGAATGCAGAACCTACCAATCTCGCGCCAGGCGCTTAACCAACTAGGCCACTGGTCCGGCATCCAATGGTGTTAATGTCTAACCTCAACCGATCCACGAAATTGCGCGACCACCTTACATTGTACTGAGGTAGACACCTGTTTCTACCCGACACGGATTAGCTCCACTGGTCACGGCTTCTCACCAGAACTCCGAGAATTTTCTCACGAAGATAGTCACTAGTGAGCACACGGTAATTATCGAATCTCGCGGGTAGTGGGATCGTGGATGCGCACTACTGAGGAGTCCCATACTAGGACGAAACGGCCGTCCAGTGCTTCCAGGTTTTCCATGGTGGTCTAGCTTCAAATGACTCATGATTTCAATCAAAAACTTAACAATCTCCACAACCCCTAAACTGATAATAACTGTTTAATTTTAAATTATTACAACATGCAAAATAATAGCAAAAATCGAGTGAAACAAAACATGAATTAATGTTTGGGAAATCAGACCGTAATGAAGGAAATGTGTTTGTTGATAGTTGAACAGTTTTATTTTAGGTTTGAACTGACGATTCTTCTTTATTAAAATGATCCCAAAACTTTATTATGGTGATGATATTTTGACCACCTGTAATACTTGTAATTAATGACATGAATTCATTATTTTCAAAACGCTCAGTTCAGCAGTCCTATTAACGGTATTGGAAGACGGTCGCGTAATATTGTGAATCAATTAAAGTTAGGCATGTCGACCGTCGGATATGAGACCAGTTATCTGAGGATCATGGCTTCATTAAGAGTTCTAAAGGTCCTGAATTTTAGGAGTCCTGTGCCATGACAAAACAGCTGTCTATTGTTTTCCATTTTTCAACGGTTAATTAACTGATGTCAGTATGTGATGTAAACCATAGAACTCAGAAGATGTTTTTTATGAATGTGATTAGTAATGCGAATTGTCACTAACCAAAATGTGGTTAGTTTTGCACGTGACAAGAAAGTTCATTTTTCAGAAGAGCTTTCACACTCTAAATCTCTCTAACTGTGAAATATTTAATCTAATGAAATAAAAAAATGAAATCATAAGTAACATTGTTTATTATGTGATATAGAAGGTCACTAATCTATGGTTGACTTATTTATAATGACAAGCTCACAGATCAGTGACCTTTGAAGAAAGTTGTAGTTTGCCGTCCAAATACCATGTAACAAAGGCTGTATATATTTTATTCCTGAGCACTTTTTTGTGTTGCGCTGGTTAAATGATGAAAAAATACCTAAGTTTTATAATGCAAAATCCTATCATTTAGAGAATTGCAACTTGATTTTCACTAGTAATTAGAATGCATATCAAATTTGAATGTTTCTTCAGTGATTGACGACTTTATTCAACAAATGATAATCATCTTCATAGAAAGTGGTCAGTAATATCATATCTTACGGCTATGTTTTCCTGGGATAACTAACTCTACTACCAAGATGAACAAGGACTCATAAACTGTCAACCATTCCAGCTGGTAATATACACATGAATTCCAATATTTTATGAATAATATTCATGAATACGCTATCAGATGCAGTTCCCGATATCGTCTTATTTAATGTTATCTGCTTCCATGCGATTGTCCAGTATCGAAAAATGCTTTCAGTATATGGAAAACATTTTGTCTGGAACATTTAAACCTTCTGAGACAACATATTTCTTAGTATATATTGGTTTCCCTAAACACTGATTGCATGGGTAGTCCGTTCTTTTTTTATACCTTCGTTGTGGAAATAACCATCGATTTCTGGGAACCGAATTTCTTCAATCCTGCTGGTTAAGGCAGTTGGTGCGATTACGTTTTCTCAGGATAAAAATAGAATCTTTTTAATTAGATGTATCTGTTCATATGATTTCCAAGAAAACAATTACAACCATATTCTTTTTAACTATGATATTCAAATCAAATCTGATCGGATTATACTATTTAGAAAATGTAAAATTTAGATCTTCACTGACAGTCAATAATTTCTAATTTACATCGCTCACAAAAAACGGGTTACGCTGAATAAAATTAAACGAATTCACTACATTGTTCAGTGTGAACCTTTAACCGAGATTTATTTATAAATAAAGAAAACAATGAATAGATAGATAAGTATTACGGTGTTTTTACAAATATATAACTTAGATTACTTTAAAATAACGAAGACAGATAATAAACTGAATAGGTGTTACCAAAAGGAGTCTAACACGACTACTAATTTATCCATTAAACCTTTAGATATGAGTTGTATCACTGAAAGAACAGTGTTTGTGTTATATCCGAGCGAAGATTAAATCACGAGTAACTTCTGAGACATATTAATTGACTCATATTATCCATACATTCTTATGGTATAATTATTCAATAATTAGATTATGTATATTTATATTCCCCTTGTTATAAGCTTTATTTCGACCTACAATTTATAATTGTGTGATTCACGGTACTTAAGCTATGTTCAGTTTACTGGCTACTGCCTCCCACGTTCACAGCCACCTTTTGGCTTTATTGTGTACAAATGTTATTTTCTATTTTATGGTGCGTTGCGGTCTGTTTGATTGATATATAAACCCAGTATGTCTGAAATAAATGATTCGATTTCATTCGATTGGTATATTGGAAGCTGGTATTGTTGTTCTGCACTCAAATGGACGGGCTAGGCGGATATAGGACCATTAAGAACGCTAAACTGCCCATACAGGTCGAAGGTCATTGGTTTGGTACAGTGCGAAGATTTTGATTAGTGGATAAACCACGTGGTGAAAAACCAGATATAAAGTCATAACAGTTTGTAATTTATTTCATAGAAATAATGAACGTAAACGTTAACCACTTACTCGTTGAATAATCTAGCTGTTTATTATGCTCTATTCTTGCACTCATACAGTGAGTGACCTATTATTGTACTATGGTATTTTGTACACCTTAGGTCAACTGGTCTGATAAACTCATTGTGTCCTTCATTTTCATCTCAAAATGAAAACAGATCACAGGTACTGGGTAGAAAATCAATAATGTTAATGTAGCTATACTTATTCAGTTTTAAGCTATAAATTTTTGTAAAGGCATTGATAATACTACTCTCCCGACAAAGTAGAAGCAAATGATGTAGAGTTGAAATGTGAGGGGATGGTTATAGGTTATATGTTTTCATTATTAAGCCACCACTAGATATTCAAAAAATAATAACAAATTAGAATTAAATGATGATAAATATCGTAAAAGCCAGTTTTGTGACTGACATTTAATAACCGACGGATAACATGCTGTCACTGGAACATGTAAACTCAAAGCTTCTTTTGCGGCAAATTCATAGGTAAATACTTCTAAGTTGATGCCCAATATAGACACAATAAGGTTCAGGCTTTCTTTAATCTTCATTAAATTTCCTTTTTTATATATGAATTAAAATGTGCAATATATCATTCAATAGATTCTTTCTCATACCCCTCCCCGAAGTTCTACTTTTACTAATGTTGGACAGATTTGTCTTGAGATTCGAATCTTTAGCTACGATTTAAAGATGACTCATTGAATAACTTTATGAAATACAACCAATAACTAAATAAATATGAAAAAAAGTTTTTCATTACTGACGGATATCGACGGGAGAATAAGTGTAAAATAAGTTAGCATATACTTTTTTCCTTAGTGAAAAGTTATTTGTTTACACGATTTACTCAATCAATTCTAAAAGTCACGGAATATAATACACTGGGATGAACACACTTCATGTATACGGGCTTTATGTCACACTGAGTGAGACCGTCTGGTTTCTGAAACGGAAGAAGGAGAATTGAAGTTTGAGTCTACGACTGGTTAGTCGAGAACCAAAATTAAGAGGCTAGTTGTAAATACATAGAATACTATTGAGAGTGGAAAGTATTCCACGTTCAATGGTTTCTAAGGCTTCTTGACTATTACAATGTGAGGTGTTACCAGTTAACGATTATTATTGATTTCGAACTGAAAAAATCTTTACCGATCATCTAACTGTTTCAAATTTATTTTATTCTAACAATTACTGCATTTACTGAACCAGTGGTGGATAAGGCTAAAATATTATGAAGACATAATGTAAAAGTATACCACTCAAAGAAAATATTCCGATTCCATTTTAAAAAGATATAAAGATATATTTTTAATTAATTCACAACATACACTTATCTCCAGTCAGTTGAGATTCGGAGAATGTTTATAGCTTAAGATGAGGATTTGGGATTGGTTGTGCTTTTTGAGAAGCAACTGTCAGTCAACAAGAAAGTTAGAACCCTTAATATAAATGTCAATACAGGTCTCTTGTTCAGGACTGAAACTTGGAGAGTTAGTACAACCATGATCAAAGTAATACTCAATACCCGTTGACCAGATATCATCAGCAACAACCTACTCTGGCACAGAACAAACCAGCTTCCAGCTGAAGAAGAAATTATGAACGGACGGTAGGTGCGGATAGGACACACATTGCGGAAATCATCAAACCAAGTAAAAAAGCAAGCCTTGACTTGGAATCCTGGAGACGAAAGGAAAAGAGACAGATCAACGAATATTCTGCGTCGGAAATCAGAGGCAGACATCATAGGTACGAATAGCACTTGGAAATAATTGGATAGGAGAGCTCACGACAGAGTTTTAGTTTACTGCTCGACGGTCTCTGCTCAACCAATGGTAAAAATAGTGAATTTTAAAAATTCTAAAGTGTATGGCTTAATCTTGATGCTTCCATTTTCTTTCTAGCCTAAATCATTAGCATATGTTTCAAAAAGTAGAAGAGCATTTTCTCTTGAAGTATGTGCTGTAGTCTAGAAAGACAAAACAATCTTCACGATTAAACCATTCATCTCTGAGATCATCATACTTACAAAATTAATCCCTTTTTTTAAATACTGTCCGAACTTATTCACAAATCACCTATTATTCCAAGTAAAAACAATAGAAGATTTTTGCAGAATTCCTCTTTCTATTTTGAAATAGATAATGTAATTATCAATTAACTTATTCCAACTCTATCAACAGTTGTGATTCTAAATAGATTGCTGTAGATGCTAAGGCGTAGCTAACACTAATAACAATTATTATTATTGTTGTTCACGTTACTATAGCCCGTGTAAAATTGTTTTCCTTAACTTTTAAAGTTCATTCAAATAACCATAGAAACTATGGTTGACCTTCATACAGCAGAACAGTTCAGTATCAACTAGTTAGGAAAATATTTATGATCTTTTGCTTTTGAAAACTTAAAAAACAAAGATGACGTAAGGTGTGGTACAGGGAAAACTGTATTCAGTAAAAGGTATTAAGACATATAACCTTCGAATAACATTAGAAAAAACGAAAAAAATGTATGAAAAGGGGAATATAGATCATTTGGAAGCAATGGAAAGATATTTTGATTGTTTTAGCCAAAATAAATATGTTAGTAAATGGAGAGGATTCTTCATCAATTAATGGTTTATCAAATGATGTTGGGTCATTTGGACTACTACCAAGAAACCAATCAGTGTAAAAGCTTCAATTCTAGAGTAGGTCAGTAGCGATACGAATCACACTGTGTTAAATTCTCAGACTGTAAACTGAGTCATCCAATATCGGATTCCACACATAGCACTAGTTCACAGGAACATCGACTAGCACGAAATGTAGGATCATAGTCTCAACATAATACACTCTACCCTCTGTTTTAGGGGTGCTAATGCACACTCCCGGGGAGTCCCATACTAGGGCTAAACAACTGTTTAGTTTTTTTTGTATTTTTAATGGTTGTGATATTAACTGTGAAACTCAACAATCTTCACGATCCCCTTACACTATGGGTTACTTATTTATTGTTAATTGTACGCTTCCTAAACAATATTCATTTGAATGTTTCAACCTTTTTTTATGTTTAATTTTTTTCAGGCAAAACAATTTAAGAAGGTGAATAAAAAATTCAACCTACTCAAATGGAAACAACATAAATTTATGACAAGTTTAATAGTTATTGGTGCAGCGATATTAATAATGATTATAATATTACTACTAATATACATTTAACCCATATAAAAATGATTAACAGTCTTTAAGAAGTAATTTTACATAATCTATGTGATGACTATTTATGATGATTTAAACTTATGGATTCAGATTACTCATTAGGAAACAATACAGAATATGTGGATTCTTTAATAACCAAATCCTCATGTACTTATTAGGTTTGATATCAGTTTTCAATTGTTTGAGAATAATTACAGTGTAATCCTTTAAGATTCATGCCGTTCATTTTCATCATGTCTGGTGTAAAAAAATAAATGATAAAATTAGTCTTGAATATCAATTTAGACTTATAATTTTATGCATACGTGCATTGAAATTACACTGGAGTTGTCTTCATATTTGAGGAATAATATAAGTTGGCACGACTTTCCTAAAGTAGTATTTAGTATGCCTCTATGGTTCAAGAATAAATTTTGTAACTTTCGTGGATTATTAATGGGTCCGTATAACTATGGATTGTCAGATCAATCGCTTGAATTAATGCAATTAATGTGAGTGGCTGCTCACGAAATTCGGATTTATTGACGCAGTATCTTTAAAGAACGCACAACAGAAGATAGAACAACTTGTTAGCAAGGTATTTGTCATTTTATATAGACAATTGATAATATTTATGTGCAGAATATTTAGTGCAATATAAACGTGATTAAAATTCATTTAAAATATCAATGACTATTAGATTCGAATTTGGTAAGTCATTTGTCAACCAACAAATTTAAGGTCATTGTTATGTCTTTAGCTATACGATTATCTTGAAATACGATTGCTAATTTAGAAACACTTATACGACCAAACTAATGACGCACACGCCAGTACTGGCAGCCGATAGTTCCGATTTGTCCTTTTTCCTCCTAACCCTGCCTGTTAAGTCCAGAACGCCAATATTAGCCTCCGAGATACTAATCGTATATTCAAAACATACTGGGTTTATATATAGACAAATAAGACCACATCACACCATAAAATAGAAGATAACTTTTGCATAAGATCTAGTCAAAAGTGGTTACAATCGTGAGAAACTGTTATTAATAAACTGAGAATATCTCAAGGATAATAAGTCGTATGAAGGGAATATGAAGAAACATATAATAGGTAATTATGTAATAGTCATACACTAAGAATATTCGTATAATATTAGATCATACTAAATTTCTAACGGTTACCATCCATTTATTCTCGTCCACGTATAACAGCCATATAATCAGTCTTATATATTGTCCACTATATTAATGTTAATGTAATATGATCTACAGCCCTAACCGTAAACTCTCTTAAGATTCAATCTAGTCAACTATAAATTTATATAAAGTTTTATAGTAAAACGATCTTAGCTATGTGCCTAACGAGATTTATAAACTGTGATACATTTTGGTGTAGTATAACTTTAATATATAAAAACAAGAGTTAAAAATCCGAGTAACATAAACGTTTCGATCGGCTATCCAGCCTTCTAGTGACTTATAATCATACTGGGGCTATTGATCAGAACGTTTAAAAAATTTAGGATTTCATTTTTATATTCCTTCAGTTTTATTACTTCAAACAATATTAATGGTAACCATAAATCATGACGTTTTCGAATAGAAAGTAATCTTAATGTAGAAAAAGAATCCTAGATTATTTAGAAGGACCCATATGGGTAAACATTACAGCTAGATCGAAACTCTTTCGTAGCCAGTTTTGGAAATGTATGTTAAAGTTTTATCTTCATAGTTTGAGTCAGGAACTGATATTTGCTAGAACGGCAATAAAAACCAAAAGGCACTAGACGACTGTTTTATTGCAGTACGGGATTCCTCATCAGTGCGTATCTCCAACCCCATCATAGGGAGTAAGTAAACCAGGAACTTCATTCTTGCTCCAGAATGCTTGACCTTTAAACATTTTATCCGTCATCTACTGGTGTCTGTCCACGATATTATGCGACTATTTATCATTGTAACTGTCTCATATCAGATGTAATCGACACCATTCATATTTATTTATTTGGTAATGTTAGTCAAGTTTTCAGCTTTAATCAGTATGAAAGTGATTAACATTATAAAACAGCTTTATCTAGACGACTGCTGAAAATCAAAAGAACTAAATATCTATTTTGTCCGTCGATATAACTTAATACTAAGATATACTCAAGAATTCACTAGGATCGGATACAGAACTTTTAGCCTGATTTACGTTTGAGTTAGTAACTAGGATTTCATATAACTCATGTATGATTAACACTTCATTGAGATAATATGAGTCTCAGCGATAACGTTCAACTACCTTCTCATTAGCCTGATTATGACTTACACATGAAAGTAATATATAAGATATGGGTAATACCATCTACTAGATGAACCCATATTTCTTGGTAAATGAATTACATAATGGTTAGCCGAAAACAGAACCGTGAACTAACTAATAAGAAGATACTTCATATCTAAATTACTGATGACTTGCGTGTTACTATTCTCCATTATTAAAAATATTACGAATAAGCTCCAAGTAACTCTTGGAAAAAAAATATATAAATATCGATCTGTCATGATCTATCATTGTTGAATTTGTGTTTTGTAAAAGAATTTGAATAAAATAAAATAAAATAAAATTCTATCAGGATAGTATCTATTCAGAATTCAATTTATTGTGTGCAAACATTAGTTTATTGATTGAAAGTTCCACTTAAAACTTATTGATATTTTAAACAGATTCTTAAGAAATAAAATCAATTAAATATCGATTAAATTTTTGTTGTTTTAACAATGTTTTTTAATTGATTTTCATAGATGAAATTTTCTTTGTTGTTGTTGCTGTGTTTTTTAAAAAAAAACAAATCGAATTAATGATTAATTTAAATGTTTTATGTTTCTTTAATTAAATTGTTGATTTGATTTATGTTATTAATTGATGCAAACGCCTAACACGAAATTATGGACATTGAAAATTGACGATACTTAATTGATTCTCATTACAAATAAAAAAGAAGCTATGATAGCCAGGATTTATGAATAAGGGAAAATGGTTTATTTCTCTGATAAATGTTATTCTACACATTAATATTATTGATTTTATAATCAGTACATAGAAACTAAAGTATTTTAAATGATATGAATATACATGAAGGTCGTTATGACGACGTGAATTTGTTAAATAAGTTTTGTGAAGTGTTTTAATGTACAATATGAATTTTATAAATCATTTGTGATTCAAGACAACCTCATCTTCATATAGATATAATTTGGTTTGAAGTAGCTGCCTTAAAAATTAGGTTTATTTCTAGATACTACTTTTCTGAATTGGATATCTATAATTTTGAAGGGATTGATGCTTTTTGTAAGTTTTGAATTCGTATCTCTGAGGGTCACAGTCAGATATATTACGATTGAGGTTCCAGAGGCTTAAGTTCCAAATAATAAATTATTTAGACTGACAGAGTCACTATAAAATGATTTGAACTGATCAATAATTCCAGTAACAGAAAATAAAGTAGATGGTAGCTGCTTCAGCCCCTTTTTAAGATAACTCGAACAACCATATCATAAACTTGGTAGGTGTTTGATTTCAAAGTTTATGTCTGACGAAGAATGTTTCTTTAATCAACTTAAACCTGACGAACTTCAAATTGAATTTTTAAAAAACTTAACCTAAAAACAGTATTTATAGACTTATATCAGATAATAACGAATATTTTCTTAAGAAAAATGGAATACATTTTAAATGGCCAAACAGAGTTGAGTTGTTAACTTACTGTGACCAGATTTAATGAAGCAATGTTCACCCACTGTATAGACTCTCATGAATAAACTCTCAATGATCAGTGTTTTATTTAATGTTCAGTTAACTTCTCAATGAAATTAATGAAAAATATATTTCTGTCATTATTTTACTTTAGCTGGTAAGAAGGCATGCAAATAGTTCCAGACGTATATATCATACTTCAGTCACTTCTATAAATAGTATGGTTTTTGTCATCCCACACTCATTTCCCCACTTTTTCGTAAGTCTGTGTTTAGAAGTACTCCAGGAATATCATAATACCTTGAATGAATAAATACATATTCATTTTAGTGTTTTGTACCATTTGTTGTCTGTATTTCACATTCGGCAAGATGAAACATATGTCACATAAATTCGGTGATAAAAAACATCTGCTTCACTCAATTTATTTCACTCGGTCTTACAAATGTTAGTAAGAGAGTGACAGAAAAATCATTTAGATATCATTTATTGGATGATCTAGCCAGAAAAGTTTTATCAGTCAATGAATTCTCTATTTAATTTGAACATTTATAAGATTTTCTTAAACAGATTATGTTTATTATATTAGTTACATTAAGTGGTACACATCTGGTGATTATTTTGTAGTTTGTATCATGAACTGATCTTAATTAGGCAACCATGGAAAAATAGGAAGCAATGGATAGCTTTTACGGTTTAGGGAATTCGGGACTTACAGTAAGACCTTAACCTACAAACTATTAAGTCAGTATTCAGTGGTTCACATTCCAAACTTCACTCAAGTTTCAGTGTTGTACAACTGTTTAGCAGTGCTATTGATAAGTAGGCTAATTACTTCGAATGTTTGTGAATTTCATTGGTAAAGGCTTCTTGCTTTATGGTTATTTGTCGAATAATGATTTCTAAATCACAGCTCTTCAAGGTAGGACCATCTATGTACATTACTATAATGATTGACGACAGCGAAAATCAACATGTTAAAGTGAACAATTATTTGATCACTGAGTGGTGACCAATATCATCTTTAATTAGTCCACTGTCGTTCAATTTGCGGTGCGGCAACTAGTCTAAGTAAGACATCTTCTATGCTATGCTGAGATATTAGGTGGTTAGTCGTGGTCAACAGAGTTTCCTAGTGACCCACTTGAACTTCCTAACGCAGCACATATTAGATGTCTAATGAAACGTATTCATGAATGCTGAATGAATGTATTCAATGACATTTATTAAAAGCTTAGTTAATTTTGTGAATATTTGTATCCCAACTCACCGATTAAGGAGTACAGCACTTGAAAAGCCTTGGATTCTATCTTTTGTAAGAATGCATAAATTATATCAAAATTAAACTTTTTTAACTAAGGTCTAATCAGTCAAACTGTTGATAAGTTTCTACTTACAAATCACAGTCATTTAGATTATTTCAAACATAACTTAAACGTTTAACGTCTTCTGAATACTTTTCACCCTATTGCTGTCAAATTTAAAGAGAGCAAAACAAAAATCTGGGTACAATACCATGAATCCATTTCTTCAGGTTATCGTCAGGTACATACGACCCAT